GTCAAAAGTCAAGCAAAAATTGGACTGATATTGGGCACTATTTCAAGCACAATTTTTTGAGACGTAAATTGTACCTATAGCTCGTTCGATATTCGCGCACTGAGGTGAGTATGCTGGGCGTAGAACCTACGCCCAGCATACTCACTGAACGAAGCCTATAACTCCGAAGTTATTCGAGCACTGTTTTTTCTTTTTGGGCACCGTTTGGCACTATTTGGGAACTATTTTTTGAAGTATGAATTATGTTTGAAGCGTATACAGATTCTCCGGACGGAGGTGAGTATGCTGGGCGAAACCTTCGTCCAGCATACTCATCGAACTATGGCTATAACTTCGCAAGTACAAGAGCACTATTTTTTTCCTTTGGGCACTATTTAGCACTATTTCAGAACAGTTTTTTGACATTCATGAAATATCAGGATTCCATGGTGAGTATGCTGGACGAAGGGACACAACAATTCCACTTCCTCTTTCCTCTATTTAGCAGTTAGTAATAGTTACATAATTATTTATACAAAATATTTAAGCAATTTTGTATTTTATCCTTAGATAATACATTTAAGAAAAAATGAAAATTTTCTCAAGTTTCAAAAGACATTGAAATCTCATTTCAGTATTTTTGTTATTTTTTCTATTGTTTTAATATAAGAGTCCAAGTCTACTTCAATTCGTTGTTATAAACGAGTGATAAAGGTGATTTATTGTATAAATTAAACATTTCCTTGTGAGAACAACCTTTGCATACACGTGTAATGGGTATATTTAAATAAAAAACGTAGTTATAATAAATTTATGTCTATTTATTGTAATCAGTGAACGTGAACAAAACCTCTTAGCATTAGGGTTGTGAAAGGTAAACAGATTGAAATTAAAAATGTAAAACCACCAAGAAATGTGTTTATTATTTATTTTAATACATAACTACAGAGAATCACTGCGACAGTGGAGCGAGCGCTGTGTCGCTAATATTCATTTTTTTGGTACACCTTAAATAAAAATTGTATCGATAAAAAAGAGTTATTCCTTAATGTCGGTCTTGTACGAGTGGTATGGGCATCGAAGCGGAGCGGGGAACCCTATAGTGTAGACTAAAACAAATAAAATGGTAGCAATGTCGTCACTTAGAATAAAATTAAATAATCTATATAACCTTATAATGTATCAACCGTCAGATCATACAGCAACTGTATTCATGAACCTGTGACCTAGTATGGAGTTAGAAACAAGAGTGCTTGTGAAACTACAGGGTCGATCCCTGACAAAACCCTACATTGATATTTAGAATAATATCACGAGAAATTAAACTATTTTTAGTTGACGAATACCTAAATTTAGAGGCCGGTCACTGAGATACGTAGCACGATCGTTTAATATTAGAAATACGCATAAAAATGTCCAAAACATTTCGATTATTTTGTACCTATCCACGAGAAACAAGTTTCAAAATACTAGTCCGCTTAACATTACATAAATTTATATATATATGTTTGATTAATAAAACGTGTTCACATTCGTATCTCAGAAAACGGGTCAAAATCGACAACACACATAATTATAACCTTAAAATTAGCCGCTACGATGACCACAGATTATAAATGTCCAACCAACATTACAAGAGTACCGCAGTCAACATTCATGTCCTCCAAGGAGGTCCAAACTATACAATATTAATTAAAAAAAATAAAGAAGACGCTCATCGACCAGCCGAAATGAAAATTAAAACTAAAAACAACGAATAAAACAAACATTAAGATATTAAACCTTATCGATTAACTTCTATAATACAGACTCTTATCTCTATGCTTAGATCGTTAGTCAATCCTGGAGTTGTATTCAAGACAATTCATAATTTTGTAACTCGTACAATTTGAAAGGCAAATATCCTCAAGGTCAGTTTACACTCATCAGTATTGTTCTAAATCACATTCGCGAAATCACATTTACCTAAGTGCAGTGTAAACTAAACTTTATGTACGATGACAATACGTTACAATTTGATTCACCGCCAATTTTTGAGATCTTGATTACTTATGTACCTAAGTATGTATAATTTACGCGTGCATGTATAATGCCAAAGGATTTGAATAATAAATTAACTACGAGTGTCAGTTTATTTTGCAATATTATGCGAAGGTCGTAGGAAAGAAATGTTGAGCAATTTATTGTTATGTTCTAAGTAAATTATACATGAACACTTAGGTACATAGGTATCAACCTCTATTGTAGTATATAACATTCAATTTAAGGTATAACGAATACCTTTTGGTCGACATAATTTGGATAACAAAGATATTGGTATATTTTCCACGATTTTAATATTGTTTTATTATTGTAAGCTCGACTTAAAGTATATAAATCAATTTTATTGCACTATGTTTGATTTTAAAAAGACATTTAGACATGCAACTAGCTGTGTTTGTATTTATAAATATATCCACCGATTTAACAGGGTTACCATAATATCCTAATTTTCTTGTGTAGTTTTATATGAACAATATTTTGTATGATATTTAAATAATTTAAACGACAATGAGTACAATAAATCGAGCTTCAAATGACATCATAAAGTGTAGACATTATTATTTGATATAAATGAAACATAAATATATAGATTTACTATAACTTATGCGAAAATGTCTGTTTGTCTGCAATATATTGATCTAATACACAATGATTTAATCAAAGTATTCCTATTAAAAATCCGTCATTTGTATTATAATAATAAAAAATAATTATTGATTTATTTACATATCCATAATCACTTTCGATTTTATTTTGCTATTGGTCTTGGCGTGAGATATATTTGAATTGTTAGGAAAAATATAAATTAGCCATAGGACGTCCACTACTGAACATAGGCCTCGCCCAATGTCTTCCAGATAGGCCGGTTGGAAGCGGCCTGCGTCCTGTGACTCCCTGCAACCTTTATCGGGTCTGATCACCTTATTATAACGTCCACCGCCAACTAAAATAAGTTAGTTTAGCTGGCATAGCTAAGAAAATTGTTCATACATATGTCAGCTCTGTGGTGAAAACTAAACGCTATAGTTTCCACCACAGATGGGGCCCAACGGGGCTGATGCCGATACGGAGCCGCGAAGGACTTAACGGGTTGCCGGGGCTCCGGCTCGAAGTGCAGGAGTAGGAACGGGA